TTTCAGTAAAACATTTGCATTGGGTTTGTAAGGGCTAGTTTTACGCACGTTTTGGCGTGAGTTTTTGTTGCATTTGCACAGTTTTGACCAGCAGGTGTCACCAGCGTGCAGAGCTTCGAAACAGTGAATCATTTTGCGAAGCAAAAGATTCAATTGATTCGAAGCTTCGAAAAGGTTCGTTTCTCCCATGCATCAGTACAGAGTCGAAGTAGTTTATGAGAATACACTGAAAAAATGTTTAATTCATCCAATTAAAAAAATGTTTACCCTTGGGGCAAGTTATTTATTTTTCATTGGCTCAAGTTAAAAAATATAGATGTGAATCATTCCCCTAACTTTTTTTAATTGGATGAATGAAACATTTTTTTCAGTGTAACAACACATACACAACCAGTCGTCGAAGTAGTTTATGAGAATACACTGAAAAAATGTTTAATTCATCCAATTAAAAAAATGTTTACCCTTGGGGCAAGTTATTTATTTTTCATTGGCTCAAGTTAAAAAATATAGATGTGAATCATTCCCCTAACTTTTTTTAATTGGATGAATGAAACATTTTTTTCAGTGTAACAACACATACACTACCAGTCAAAAGTTTTTGAACAGTAAGATTTTTAACGTTTTTTAAAGAATTCTCTTCTGCTCACCAACCTGCATTTATCTGATCTAAAATATATATTGTGAAATGTTTATTCCTATTTAAAATATCTGCTTTCTATTTGAATATATTTTAAAATGTAATTTATTCCTGTGATTTCAAAGCTGATTTTTTTCAGCATCCAGTGTCTTCAATGTCACATGATCCTTCAGAATCATTCTAATATTCTGATTTGCTGCTCAAAAAACATTTATTATTATTAATATTTAAAACAGTTGAGTTTTTTTTCAGGACACTTTGATGAATAGAAAGATCCAAAGATAAGCATTTATCTGAAATAAAAAGCTTTTGTAACATTATACACACTATCATTCAAAAGCTTGGAGTCAGTATAATTGGGGGTGGGGGGAAGAAATTATAGAAATTAATACTTTTATTTAGCAAGGATGCTTTAAATTGATCAAAAGGGATATTATAATGTTACAAAAGATTTCTATTTCAGATAAATGCTGTTCTTTTGATCTATCTATTCATCAGAGAATCCTGAAAAAACTTCTCAGCTGTTTTCAGCATTGATAATAATCAGAAATGTTTCTCGAGCAGCAGATCAGCATATTAGAATGATTTCTGAAGATCATGTGACACTGAAGACTGGAGGAATGATGCTGAAAATACAGCTGCGCATCACAGGAATAAATTACAGTTTAACACATATTCACATAAAAAACAGTTATTTTAAATAGTAAAAATATTTCACAATTTTACTGCTTTTGCAGTATTTTGGATCAAATAAATGCAGCCTTGGCGAGCAGAAGAGAATTCTTTCAAAAACATTAAAAATCTTACTGATCAAAAACTTTTGACTGGTAGTGTATATGACTAAATAAGGAATTGTGAAACACAAAACATTAATAGAGCATCGTTTGCCACAGCATATTCAGTATTACTTGATTTCACATTCCTTGTATGTGTCGCTCAGTCAAATCCCAGCGAGGACTTGGAAAGCCAGATATGGCCAGAGCTGCTGATAGAGTAACGTGACACTGCGAGCAGGAATAGAAATGAGCTGGAAACCCCCTCACAGCCTCCATAAGAGCAGAGAGCCGAGCAGACACTCACACTCCCTCAGCAGAAGAGACTCAGATACAGTTTAGACTACAGTAAGTATCAAACATTACATTGAGTCTTTACTTGTGTGTCTAAAAGTGCCAAATGTGTAAAACAAACCACAAGCTGAAGCGTTGCTTTCCACCAGGTTTTGGACATTGAATGTACAGTAGCGAATAAACTCTCTGTGTCTTTGGCGCTCCTGGTTGTTTCTCAGTTGGGTTTGTTGAATAAAATCTTCCCCGTGTTTCCTCCCGACATCAAACTAACACTGCTACGCTTTGAAATTATTTCATTCGTAAATCTAGGTGTCCAGAGCTGCACAGATCTTTGTGTGATTTCACGAAGATGGTCTTTAATGGTTTGAGCACAAGATTTCCCAAAAGGAATATATTTCCACACACCTGAGGCAGAAACATTATTCTTCGAGGAATTGCCATCTAAATGATAGTGCCTAAAATAAGGGCTGAGGGTCACCTTTAATTCACTTCTGGAAGCAGGTGAGAAAACGCTTTTTTGCATTTCAAGGAGATACGCAGCATAAACGAGCTCCCGGGCTTGTGGATCATGGAATATGTGACTTGCTTGGGAGAAAAAGTGCAAGCGACTCGCCAGAATGGATGTACGTCGATACTGATCTATAATTCGATGAACAAAATGTTTATTTGTCTCATTCTGAAGCATAAACCTTGTGCGTAAAGCGCGCGTCTCCAAATGCGCACCAAGATTATCACGCGCGCAAACGATTACAGCAAAAACTAGAATTTAAAAAAAATTGAACTAGAAAAAAAACTGTACTTGCATCTGTAATTTGGAAAATATACATTATGTACATATATTATACTAGCGCTTTGGTATGAGAAAAGCGCGTAAATGTATTACTATTATTATTTTAGTTTTTTTTAATTATTATATACAGTTATACATAAATACAGACAGTCAGTTCAATAGAAAATAAAGTATTTCATATAATATAATATATACTCATATATAACACACACACACACACACACACACACACATTACATAACTCCAGTAATGTTACATAAGGTTTAGATTAAAGTTTAGACATTTGTACAGATAATTAAAAAGATATCAGTGTCTCTTCTGGTCCCTAGTATATCTAAAAAAAATAATAATAATATATCAGATCTCTACTGAATCTTTATATAAACTCTGGGCACGAATAATAATAATAATAATAATAATAATATACTTGAAATGTTGTTGTTTCTAAAGTGTCAGGTTCTATTAACAATCCTCTGACTGAACACAAAAATGCCGCTGTCATCTGGCAAGTGAGTGAAATGTTCCTCACATTTACAGCTACTGATGGGACGGCAGCTGCCACTCTTCAGCTGTCTCAGATATGAGGGTGTGTGGCAACAAATTCAGCCCGGAAAAAGTCCCTCACACACACATATCATTTCCTGCAGGCTCACACAGAGCAGTTAATGATTCAGTGACACTTGAGGCTAAATGTCTAAAACTGCGAGTGAAAAGCATATGAATATCAACTTGCGTTTCAACTAAAATAGGAAAAGCTGAGCCGCAGCTCTGCTACTTTTTTGAGGTCTTCGTGACAAACCATGACGTTGGAGACATTCTCACCTTTCCTCCAGCCAGACCTCGTGGTCCAGGCACTGATGGTGTGACAGTGTGACACGGGGTCGAACCGGTTAGAGATCAGAGCGTGCACATCTATTTACATCTCACAGCGGCCCTTCTCTTCTGACACTGAAGGCATGTCGCCTAAATATAACGGCTCACACACATAACCGCGCTCCAGACCCCCTGACAATGCATCATCAGATACCCTCCGATCCAATACAGTCATAGACATGCTTTACAATCTGTATGACAACCTGCAGGACTGCAACGAGATCAAATGGAGAGCAAACAGGGACTCTTGCTTCAGAAGAGATCTCAAAAATGTGCTCAGATTTGCTCAGACAACACATTTTCAAGTCAGAGATCTAAATATAAACTAATTTCTCATAAAATTCTCCATCTAGTTTAATACTCTCACTGCATGACAACTATTGACTCACTTCGGTCCATTTCTACTAATTTGTAACTAACACAGTAGTTTTGTCTTGTTTTCCAGTGCAAATATTTAAACATTCTTAAATCAAGATACATTAACTTAAGCAAAAGGACGTAAGATATTGAGTCTTATTTTCCAAAAATAAATAAATAAATAAAAGTATCAACGTTTTTGCTTACAACAATATCACATCAAAAATATTTCACACACAAAAAAAACCTAAATAAAACATGTTTCAAGAAGTATTTATGTAAATATATTTTCTAACAGTATATTTTTTCAAATATTTTTTCAAATATAAATATATATATTTTTTAAAGCATATAAGAAATACATTCAGATTTGAAGAAAATCTTAATTTGTTGTCTATAACACATGTAAAGACACAAAGCAGGACTAGAAATCAGCAAAGGCCACAAGTGTTGATACTAAAATGAGACCAAACTGAGATAACCTTGGAGCCATATAAGCTCTCACAGTGATCATGTTTGTCATTCACACCTCTTATTAGATTCCAGTCTGTATGAACAGATGCCATTAGAGGCCTACTGTTACACAACACGATCACAAATGACGCCCGTTTACATTCCTCATGCATCAAACATTATTAAAGTGCTTTCTGTTTATTGATATTACTTAATATTATGGCACGAAAAATAATTCACTGTACCATAGACACAAATGCATCATGATCGAATCTGAAGTACTTGATGTTCAGAGGATAAAATAAGGAAGGGAAGGTTCTGATTGTGTGTGTGCACTGAATGTACTTCAATAAAGTTTAGTAGCTTATTGACTTTTTATACAAGCTATAAATACCAACACACTGACCTTGTGTCTGAGTGCCGTACATGTGTTTGTTTTCCTGTTATAACGGCAATAACTTTGGATAAACGCTTGAATAAATGTAAAACCAGAACCAACATTGCTGTAACAAGTATTTTGCCAGAGGCGTTTTTGATAGAGGAAGTGAAGGGATATAATGGAGCCATATATAAATATATCAAGAAATAATTAAATAAACAATCAAATGTTGCGATCAGTAAATATACAGTGACATGTGAACATGAATAAACAAACTAAACTGAGAAATGGACTAAATTAAATAGCCTTCCATAAATAAATATACAACATACAAGCATAAACGGTGTAATGATCATTTTATGCAGAATGAAAATGACACAAAATATGACATAAAATGTTATATACTGGGAAATAAAATAAATAATAACATAGCATGAAATGCATATTTACTGTATTTTATTTCAACATTTTTATTAAAAAATTTGATGAAATATTTTGTTCATTCCTCCATCATAATCCAGACATTGCAATCATAAAAAGTTAGATGTTTTCCATGCATGTCCCAATGTTGAGAATGAAAACACAACACAGATGTCTGTTCTGACTGAAGATGGCAGAGCTTCGGTTACAGTGAAATGAAAACAAAGTCATAATTGCCATATACTGTTCGTCTCTGGGCATCCCAGACAGTAATGCTTGCTTTTAACAAAACAAAGTTACATAGAGCAATATAAAATTACAGGCTTTTGCCATCAGTTTTAAAATAAGTTAGTATTTATTTACAAAATCCGTCTAGTGGCAGAAGCTATTTACAATTCTATACACACACATCTTCATTCCAACCGGAGATGCTGCAAAGAGAATAAGGACAAATAGATAAGAAAAACATCTTTACAATGATGCAAGTCATATATATACTGTATATATTAAAGGACGGAGGATCTTACCTATAAAACATTCAATAGGGAGTTCTGAATGTCTTCATAAACTTGGTTATAGAGCTCATCTTTTGTTCTCATTCCATCCAGATATTCTGCAGATACGAATCATGCATGTGAGTTACAGATTACAGAATGCCATTTTAATGCTAGATTGGTTGACTTACGGATATCTTGGCCACTGTTTTCCATCTCTAGCCTGTGTTTCAAGTACATGGGCCACACGTGGCCATCAAACAGACCAGGAGGGTCGGGAACGGTGTAAGTTCTCATACTGAAATAAAGGAGACGGATTTGTTCGAAAACCAGCAACTGAATCATCTACAAACATCTGATCTTCAAAAGCAGTTCTCACCTTCTTCTCCTTTTGCACTCCCCGTATGGAATGGTGACATAGTAGCACTTGCTGTAGACGTCAAGCAAAGGCCTGGAGGCGGAAACAAGAGGAAAACATCAACCTGTCACATCTTTAAACTGAATAAAACCAACAAGACTTGGAAGACGCCTACTTGTAGTTATAAAGAAGAAATCCCTCTATAACGAGTATGTGGATCTCACGCTCAGGGTCCGAGCCGTCAGATGCGGGTGAAACGGTCACGCCGTGGGAGCGCGCAAACTTCACCGGGTTCTCCATCCATCCTTTAACCGTGTTCACCATGGCGTCCATGTCCAAGGCGGTAATCACTACACAAGAAGACAAAAAAGACAAGACGTGTCTCACATGCTTGGATAATGAAAAATAAAACAATGCATTAAAGACTTTATCTCTTCTAATTGTCCTTTCTCCTTTTTAGGGATGTTAATAATTAATATAATAGGACTGTGAGTCAAATTTACACTACCAGTCTAAAGTTTGGACACACTTATTTTTTTATTACAGCTATTTTCGAATAATAAAATGGTTATTAAATGGAAGAACATCTTCTTTGTCTAGCAGCTGCTCTCACTCTAGATGTTCATCTTGGGAGGCTTTGAAACACTAACGAAGGAGGAACACGTATAATGATGGTTTTCCTTCACTATCTGCTCCAGATTCAACCTACAAAGCACATTTCAGTCATTAAGTGTGTCCAGACTTTTGACGTGCAATGCAAGAAAAATAGTTTTGCTGGGTTTTAGGATTATGTTACAAAAATGCAGAATGTTTATGGAAAGGTGGGAATACGTTACTGTTTCTCTTCCCACAGCGAAAGCCATTCTTACCATCCCATTGTTTAAAGCCGTCCTCCCCGAGCTCTATTTGATCTTGGGGCTGCAATAACAGTGACCAATAAAACAAAAAGGTGTGGATCGCTCAGGCAGTGCTGGTCCCACCTGGACATGTGACGCCAAGCCCTCAGGCTAGTCCTCTAAAATCATCTTTCAACTTTTCAACTTTTAATTTGGTTGCAATGCAATGCAATTATCTCTATCAGCATGCTCTTGAGAGAAGAGCCTCCAATGACAGTTAGGAATGTGTGTGTGATGCACTTAAGGGGTGTTATTAAATATATATCGATATAGGAGCGCTCAGAGAGCGAATGGTGGTGTGAAGGTTCCCAGATCCTCTCACATGCCACAGAATGATAAATGCATGAGCAAGAGATTCATATTAGGGGAATTAGGAGTTTAATGCTGCGAATGAATGCCTGCTAGACTCATTTGTTGGGTGTTTGAGGTTGGCTGTCCAGGAGAACACCAGCATAGGGTTCATGAACCACAATATGGACAATGGCTCCATAAATACAACAAATGACTAAGTCCTAAACGTCTTTACCTGTTCTGTTCCTTGGAAATGCTGTGGCATTAACAACATTAAGTATTTAGACACTTTAATCGAACTTAAAATGCATTAAATGGATTGCATTAGATGTTTTTTTTAATCTATAATGCAACAACAGTCATACATTCTTAAGTTTGGCTTAAATGTCTAAATACTTCTTAAAGGGGCCACAGTATGTATGAAGAAGTAAATACTTTAAGCTGACAAGTTTAAGTTAAAATTGTGGAATCTCTCCATACCTTGAAAAAATCATCTTGATGTACAACACAACAGTTTGGTAAGTTCTTTATGAGTCTTCCCGTCAAAGTCGTCTTGCCTCCATTGGTCACACTGTAAAAGACAGAGTACACATTTATTAAACGCTGATATCGTACAATAGAAGCTCAATACTGGATCTTGTGGATTACTCACCCTCCTATTCCAATAATAAACTTCATTCTGATCCTTTCTGATCTTGGTCTTCGCGGTAGGACACTAGCAAAGGAATCGCTTCCTTTAATTACAGTCGGGAATGCTTTCGGTCTCTCTCTCCTCTCTCCCTCTCTTTACTATTTCATTGATGGACTAGTCTTTCGCCTTCATTATATAGGCGGCCCGGCTTTGCGTGACGTAGACACGAGTCGCTTGCCAATAAAGCCGCTCTCGGGGAACCAATCAGCGTTTGAGCCGTCCTGCTCATTTGCATATTGGCACCTGCTCCGCCGTCGCACCTGTCGCTCCGTGTCTGTCAGCGGGTCGCGCGCGAGGTGGGGGCAGATCGAGGCGACGGCGCAGCTCTGAGGGGCAATTAAAGAGTGGAAATATACCAACAAATCATGCCAGCTAGCACATAGCATAATTTGTGTTTAACACGCATTACAAACACTGCCGAAATGAAGGACGTGAATAAACGCAGGTAAAGGAATAAACACTTAACATTCATAAATCAAAATTCATGCATAAATTTGCTCTGGAGGTTTTGCTTATTTATATATATATTTAACACACACACACACACACACACACACACTCACACACACACACACACACACACACACAGGCTATATTCTAATAACGATAATAAAATATACTGCTACTGTATTACTCTGCCAATTTACAGTAGTGGAATATAAACAATTGTCAAAAAATGTACTAAAACTATCCATTAATATTTCTTGAATGTTTAAATTTTTTTGTGTCCAGAAATAAATTCATACTACATTTGTTTATATACACTCTTAAAAATAAAGGTGCTTCAAAAGGTTCTTCAAGCGATGCCATAGAAGAACCATTTTTGGTTCCACAAAGAAGCATTCAGTCAAAGGTTCTTTAAAGAAGCATCTCTTTCTTACCTTTTTGTAATCTGAAGAACCTTCCTTCGCCACAAAGAACCTTTTGTGAAATGATGTTAAAGGTTCTTTATGGAACCATTTCATTTAGACAAAAAGATTCTTCTATGGCATCGTGAAGAACCTTTATTTTTAAGAGTGTATATATATATATATATATATATTATTACTAGAATTACTGTTAGAATATTGACTTTTACAAAATATTTTGTGTCAGAAACAAATGCACATTGGTTGTTAATACAATTGATTATTCAATTTCATAATCAATGCTATGAAAAACAGACTACAACTGCAGTCTTAATACTGAAGATTGATCATTTTATTATTAATACAATTGTGTATTTTTATAAATAATTTTATTAAAAATTATTCTTATTATGATATATGCAACCTGAGTTCCCGTCACCATTATTATTATTATTATTATTTCAAAGAATAATTTACATTTACATTTAATCATTTAGCTGACACTTTTATCCAAAGCGAAACAATTAATAAAGTAATAAAATAATAATAAATAAATAAAGTAATTTTTTGAATGTGTCCTCAAACTTCTAGCTGTGATATGACGTACAGTATAATATGTGTTCCAGAATACACAGTATGCCTGTTTCTTCAATAACTTTGTCTCTATGTTCATCCTCCCACTTCATTTCTGCCCGACATTTCAGCTCAGGGTCATTTTACTCTGTGAACTCCAGTCTGGCCAGAATCCCACATGTGATTATTCATTTTCAACATCATCAAGTACAAACACAGATGTTTTAGAGAGAGAGAGAGAGTTGACTGTAAGAACAGAGCTATGATTGATTTATGTTTGTTAGTATGCATTCGGTTTGGACGGTTGTTAATCATTATATTATGGTCACGCTCTCCACCTAATGGAAGGGCAGATCTCAGAGCCAAATGTTAAATAAAGACAAGACAGGTACGTGGTATTTCAGTATGTTTCCTCTCATGATACTTGACCATCCTGATCAAATTGTTTCCAATTACTTGACCCGTCTTGTTGGCACAGTGTGAGGGAACTTTTCTCCTGGACTGAGGTGAAAAGTTCCATACTTAACCAGCTCTCAGTGGACGCAGCCATAGAGCTATATTTGGCATGATGTCTATGTATGACACGGTTCAAATGCTTCTGATGCAACTCACATAAATACCAGACTATCATTTTAATAGCAAAAGACCCAATGGCAATAGCTCTGTTCCAAAACCTATTCCATTCGGAACACAGCCTCTGATACTTATTAAGCACATATATTACAGTTGTAAAGTTCCAGCGAACATGACCTGCTGGCCGTGTGTTACACAATATGTACATCTCACTTTATGAGTACATAACCTTCACATTCTGTCTGTTCATGTGGCATACTGTAAATTTACTTAGATAAGTTTAAACGTCAACATGAAGGTCAAGCTTCTTTTTTTAAATCCTTATTTGTTATTATTGCTGTAAACTTACATTAATATTAACTGCTGCATTAAAGGAACAGTCCATCCAAATATTTGCTGAAAATTTGCTTAAGATGTCCTCTCCCTCAGGCCATCCAAGATGTAGATGAGTTTGTTTCTCATTGCATCACTTGCTCACTAGTGGATCCTCTGCAGTGAATGGGTGCCGTCAGAATGAGAGTCCAAACAGCTGATAAAAACATCACAATAATCCACACCACTCCAGTCCATCAGTTAACATCTTGAAAAGACAAAAGCTGCGTGTTTGTAAGAAACAAATCCATCATTAAGATATTTTAAACTTCAAACTAGCTAAAATACGAGTGCATAATCCATAATAACACTTTCTCCTGTGAAAAAGTGGTCTGGTCTGAATCAGGAGAGAAATCTGCACAGATCAAGCAGCGTTTACAACAGTCCAAAACAGCTCTAAACAAATATGTGGCTGGATTTTGATGTGAGAGACAACAGGAGGTGGACTTTTTGGCCAGAATGACAGTTTAAAGTTAAAAATGTCTTAATGATGGATTTGTTTCTTACAAACACGCAGCTTTTGGCTTCTCCAGATGTTAACTGATGGACTGGAGTGCTGTGGATTATTGTGATGTTTTTATCAGCTCTCATTCTGACGGCACCCATTCACTGCAGAGCATCCATTGCTGAGCAAGTGATGCAATGCTACATTTCTCCAAATCTGATGAAGAAACAAACTCCCCTAATCTTGAATGGGCTAATTGTCTTTATTTTTGGGTGAACTTTTCCTTTAACCACTTACATGATTTTAGAAAAGAATAAATTACCTTCGGCAACAGCCCAAAACTATGACTAAATAATTTTTGGTGATTGGTTGTATTTTATGGCAAGTTGACCAATGAATGATTATGAAGGCAAGCATGATTTCATGTTGACTTTAGACCTGTAAGCTGCTGCATTATGTAACAGGCTGAATGCGTTTCCCATTGTGGAAGCTGTTGGCCAGTGAACATGGTTAAACTGCCAAGTCAAGCTAAAATCCCGCTGGTATTAAACATCCCAAGTTTTACATCTGTACAACACAAACGACTGTTACACAAGATGTTTGCGTTTGCACAGATGTTCCTCTTCAGAAACAAAACAAGTGTAAGAAAAGAGAGTCTGTGAGCATTTGTTTTCTCTCTCGTTCACACTTACTGAGCTGCGATCCGGTTGTGATCCAGGTCAAAGGTCAGTGAGTATCGAAAAACTTCACTGTAGACAGAGCGTCACAAACATCATTATTGTGTTTTGAGATGATGATGATCGTGTTCATCCACATGATTGTTCTTTACAATTGAACATCTTTGGAAGATGACATGCACAGATGAATCCCAGTCTTGAAGTGTATCTGTAAATGAGAAAAATATCATTCACAATCACTATATTTATCATTGAATTTCTTTTAGATTTTAGGATCATTGTGTTTTGTATTTATCAAAAGTTTTGGGTGAGTCTTACAAAAAATAATCCAAGGTCATCAAAAAAGTATGTATGCATTAGTTTTGTTTTAAAATATGTCTATATAGGTTTTATTGTTTTTTTATTTCAGTTTTAGTTAAGTGCATCAAAATCATGAAAATTAGAATTTTTATATATTATTTATTTTAGTTAACTTTTTTTCAAGTAAAAAAAAAAAAGTTTTTTTTTACTTCAATAACCCTTTCAGGGTTATTATATTATTTAATATATGTTCAATATTTAATATATACGAAATTATATATTTAATATACAATATATAATCTTGCTGAGCAAAGAACATTAACAAAATATTTAAAAACATTAAATACATAATCAATTAATATGATTAAATATATAATAAATTATATATATATATATATATATATATATATAAATAAACAAACATTTAAATATTAAACATTTATATTTCAAAGTCAAATATGTAATGTATTTGTATTTCAGGTCTTATGAATTCATACAAAAGCTTCAGAAGCTTCCTTTTTGCTTAAGCTCTCAAATCAAATGGTCAGTATAATGCATGTCACATAAAGGTGGACGTCAATGACACCGTTACTGGTTTTCACATGTCTTATGACTTACATTTCAGTCTGTTCCTCACACAAAGCTATCATATGACTTCAGATGACTTGGAATAAAGCCTACGAGTCATATGGACTAACTTTATGGGGGTTTTGTCCTTGACAGCCATTGAGAAGGAAATGGCTATGAGAAGGAGCTATGAGAACAAAATAAAATAACAGAATGCGGGTTTGAGACTGAATTTTCATTTTTGGGTGAACTAGCCTTTTAAGTTACTCCCCAACACTGAAGAAAGACATACACGCAGGGCGATATGCTTGTGATGGGATATCGGCCATGTGCCGGTCAGTAGTCTGGTCAAAAATAGCAGTGATGGGCGGCAGGGTCGCTGCGGCTGCTGATCTGACGAGAGCAGCAGATGTGTTTTATGCAACAGAGCAGATGAGATGCCGCTCCTCTCGCCATTCAGAGACCCCAAATATGGTGTATGGTCCAAAGGTCATTAAACCCACCCTACTGCTGAATCTACTGTTACAGTCAGGCGTTCACTCTCTTACCCAATGAGACGCGTCAGGGACAGGCCTCCGCAGCCACTGATGGCGGCCTGTAAAATAACACTCCAATCAACATTACATTCAACACAAATAGTGTGAACGCAGATTAAACAATCACATCAGGTTTCTTTGCATTTAAAATCAACAGGAAATGATGTTTGCAACACATTTAACTTTCGTAATTGGACATATTTCCTAAGATATTCAATGAGAAATGCAGTTTTCCAAGTAATTTTAACCACGTGGAATTAGTTCGATCTGGCTAGGGGGTCTGTGGAAAAGTTTAGAGAAAAGGTAAAAAAAATAAAATAAAATAATAATAATTAGAAGAATACTAGAGAAGAAGAATAAATTAAAATAAGAATAAACAATAAAAATAAGAGTAAAATAAATAAAAAAATATTATATACAAATAATTATTTTAAATAAAAGTTAAAATAAAATAAAATAAATAAACAAAAAATTAGATTAAAATAAATATATTAAAATAAATAAATGAGTAAATAAACAAATAATACACAAGTACAGCACTGTAACTATGGAAACCCATTTCTGGCACGGAATAAACAATTCTTAAAAAGGTAATTGTGACTTTTCATCTCACAATTTCAAGTTATAAAGAAAGAATT